ATGCAATAACAAGTAAAGTCACGAATTCTATAAGACAAAAGTGTCTTGAATAAAAAAAACTAGAAATATAAATTATGTTGGGAATGGACAGAAATGAAAAAATTTTCAAATCAAATAACCAGATGAGATAACTTTAAAAAAGTACTCATATAATGTTTCTGTCTGCATTTTAAGCAGAAAGAAAATAAGAATTATAAAGTATGAACAATTTTGAGTGCAAAAATGACTGATAATGAATGTAAAAAGATATCGGGTGTAAAAAAAAATACTATCAATCAATCAATCAATCTTCGTTTTGCGTCCAGAGACCCGGTTTCCCGAGGTAGGACGTCTTTGCCATCAACTTTTTGCGCCAAATTAGACGATTAGTTGTATCCATTTCATTTAAATTTAGAGCTTTCATGTCTTGCTCGATTGTTTGCGACCAGGACTTCTTTGGACGGCCTTTGGGACGTGTGCCAGGTACTTCAACATCTGCAAGAGAAGTTATGGCACTGTTTCCACTTCGTTTGAGATGACCAAACCACCGCAGACGGTGTTGCCGGCATTCGTCCTTTATATCATCTAAACCAGCACGACGCAAGATTTCGGTAGATTTGATGTGGTCCTTTAGACTAATTCGTTGCATCCATCGAAGCATTTTCATGTCGGTTCGTTGAAGTTGTTGTTCCAGTTTGGTTGTCATTGGCCATGTTTCTGCACCATATAACAACACCGGACGTATCACAGATTTATAAAGTCTTGATCGTAGTGGTAGTGGGATGTCACGCCGCATCAATATAGAGGCAAGGAGATGCCATTTATTCCAGGCTGCACGTATGCGTGCTCGAACGGCAGCTTCAGCTGTTCCAGTACAATCCAGAACATCCCCTAGATATTGAAACGATGTGACTTTCTCTATTTTTATGGCTTCAAAAACAGTGCTATTTCGAATTTGTTGTTGTGGATTGATGCAAGCAGGACAAACAAAATTGGACACTTTAGATAAAGTACCAATTATTTTTGAACAACGTTTGTGACACCACTGGTTACACTGCTGACACTTGATTGAATTGTTACCTACACCAGCTTTACAAACTGAACAGGGCCATCGTCCACTATCTGTGGATTGGATGGGTTCACCAGTGTTCATTGCTTTGGTTTTGCTGATGTTGACTTTGAATCCATGATCGGCGAGTCTGGTGTTCCAATCTTCAAACATCTGTGCTGCATTCTGCTCAGACGTGGCTGTTAAAACGATATCATCAGCATATACTAGATTCCAAATGTCACCAGTGCGTATCGGTTTTGTGATTTCTTCCATCACAGTTATAAATAACAGTGGACTGAAAATCGAGCCTTGGTGAACTCCAACGCCGATGTCAAATGCATCTGTGTTTCCAACCGTTGTGCTGACAAGAGTCTTCGTATTCGTATACATTTCCATCACAAGTCGAACAAGATATTCTGGAATGAGTTGTCGACGTAGAATCCACCTGATTGCTTCACAGGGAACTCGATCAAATGCTTTTTCAAGGTCTACAAAAATGTGTGATAGTTGTTGATGCTTTGCGAGGTACTTCTCTTGCAGTTGCCGAAGGATGTGAATTGCATCAATTGTTGATTTCCCTGCTAGAAAACCAAATTGATAATTTCCGATTGTGATGCACGACGTTAATCTTCTCTCAATGATTTTCTCGACAATTTTCAGGGAGTGTTCTAACAGACGTATACCTCGATATGATGAACAGTTCAATGGATCACCTTTGCCTTTATATAGCGGGACTGTCATGCTATAGTTCCATTCAGTCGGCATTGAGCAATTTCTCCAGATTTCACGGCAAAGTTGTAGTAACGTTTGGATACCTGCAGTACCAGATGCTTGATAATGTCATTTGTGAGACCAGAGGGCCCTGCTGCTTTCCATCCTTCGTAGCTTTCAGAGCTTCTGTAAGCTCCTCTAAAGTGATGTCTGGAATCGGACCTTCGATGGGTGGAGCGTCAAAGTTAACATTGATGGGATTTGTTTCGTTTAACAGACGGTTGAAGTATTCTCTCCACTGTAGCTTGATCTCATCTTGTTCAAGAACCATCTCATTTTTGTCGTTTTTGATACATGAGGCACCAACTATGTCTTTTTCCGTACGCTTTGCTTGTTTTGCTATACGATACAGAGATTTCATTTGTTCACCTTTGCTTTTAGTGAGCCACTCTCTGCACTGATCTGTCCGAGCCAGAGCAACTTGACGTTTTGCATAGTTGTTCTTCTCACGGAAAATTTTATGGTCATCTACAGACTTTGATTTTTGCCATTGCTTGTATGCAACTTTCTTTTCAGCTATTGCATTTTGTACACTGTCATTCCACCACCAAGTATGACGTTCATGCTAACGTTTTGTACCAGTTTTCCCACAAACTGTAGTTGCAGCGTTCATTAAAACGGTTTTGTATGTACTCCAATCTGTACTGGCTTGCGATTGGTGGTCTAACTGTGTGGCGACAATCTGTTGAAATTTTTCTCGATGAATATTGCTTTTCAGCTTCCACCTTTTGATTCTCCGAGGCTTTTGTTTAGACTTATGTTTTGACAGTTCGACAACCAGGTCTGCCACAAGGAGTCTATGTTGGGCGACACATGATTCGCCAGGTATAACTTTGACGTTTTTGAACAGCCTTCGGTGTGGTTGCTTGACAGCAAAGAAATCAATTTGCGTGGCTGATGGTCCACTTTTGTATGTTATGAGATGTTCCATCCTCTTTCTAAAATATGTGTTTAGTAAACAAAACCCGTGACTTTCAGCAAACTCAAGGATGCGGTTGCCATCTTCATTCAGTTCTCCATAGCCAAAACCGCCATGTACGTTGTCAAAACCATCTGTTTTCTCTCCAACGTGGCCATTGAGATCGCTTCCAATCAGGATTGTTTCAGATTTTGGTATTGTTGAGATGGTGTCAGAGAATGCAACCCAGAATTCATTTTTCATCTCTTCTGATTCGCTTGTCTGTGGTGCGTATGCAGAAAAAATAATCATTGTTTGCTTTTCTATGCGAAGCTTGATCCACATGAGACGTGAATTAATCCTTTTAATATCCAGTACTTCTTGGGCTAGCGGTTCTCTGACAAAAATTCCAACACCATTTTTGGCCGTCTTTTGACCATTCCAGAATAGTTTATATTTTTCTTTGTCTGAGTTGATATGACAGACACCATTCGATTTCCATCGGGTTTCCTGAAGGCAGCAGATGTAAATCCTTCTACGCTCGAGCATTTCTGCGATTTCCATGCTGCGGCCAGTCAGTGATCCAACATTGAGCGTTCCAAGTCTAAGTACCATAGAGGGGCCATTCTGAAATTTTCTGCAACATCCCTCCGCTATTGCATACTTCCCAGGGATTCTTGGCACCCCTTGACCACTTAAGGCCTGCTGGGGACTAGGGGCCGTTGTTTTTCTTTGTGATGGCATAGGAATAATTTGGGGAAAAGTTTTTACATCCGGACACCCATCCTGACGACAACCACCAGTTATAAGCGGTGGGCCTAGCCTTTCGCTCAAAAGCACGCAAGGCAGCGTGGATGCAGTTTTATATCATACCCAGGACATGGGTATGACATTTGAACAATTTTGAATGCAAAAATGACTGATGATGAATGTAAAAAGATATCGGGTGTAAAAAAAATACTGATTGTAAAAATTACTGAATGAAAAATTATTGAATAATTAATTCACCGACATTGAAAACAGCTTTCTGGAAATCATTTGTCTGCTTCAGAAGCTTTCTAACAACATTTTCATCGAATTCATTGTTGACCTCGTCCTCCGTGAATGGAACGCCATTCAACAGCACCTGCGGCAGTTTCATTAAACCAGTTCGCCAAAAATAATCCTCACTTTCCTGAATAAAAATAACACGTTAGAAAAATAAAATGCATTGATCCAAATTCACAATTTCATTTTAACAATTTTTAAAAGTCGAAAAAATTCAAACGAGAATACAAAAATACTGTGAATAAAGAAAAAAAGTTGCGTTATGAAATGCAAGAATTAATGAATTACTAATAATAAAACCAGATTGAAAGTAAAGTTTTAAATTAAAGGAAAGTGTGAAAGATGAACTGGACTATTTCTTAATAAGAAAATATAACGGAAGCATTGAAAAAAGTAAAAATAAAATTTGGAAAAACCAGAAAAAGGAGTCAATCTTGCAAGTTTTGGCTTAAAGCAAGATAACAAATGAATGAAATAAAAAAAAAAGCTACAACAAAACTGTGTCACTTCTGACAAACCCTGAAAACTTTTCTTTATAGATATTCAATGTGGGCCGTAACATGCTCTATACGGCATATCAGATCGGACATTCCTCACCACTATTCACAATTTACTTAGCATGTAACTAAATAGCAAAATAATTGTGCTTCTTTGAATAAATCTCTGTATACAGAATTTTTTCCCAGCTACAAGATTTCCCCTAAATAGAATAACTCAAATGAGCTCAGCCTGTCTCCATCATGGATTCACATCACATCAGCCATAAATTTTGTCCCAACAACATTCAAAATGCTGTTACAAAGCTTACTAGACCAGCGTTCATTCTTAGGCAAAGAGATACTTAAAATCAAAACACTTTTCAACCGTAATCAGCTTATTTCTTCTAGTTTCATTCTACTAATCTCTCCAAAAAAGACTGGCATAGAAATCAAGGATAATTCAAAAAGTTTAGTCAAGAGGAAAAAGACTGTAGAATATTTAAATTAAAAAAATGTCGTGATGCTGTGGTCTTGAATAAAAAAAAAGAATAAAAAAATTACTTGGAGGTCGTAGAGAGCATGATCTGCCGACTGCACTTCAGACCATTCATTAGAGTACTTGGTCTTGAAATATTCAACAGCAGCATCAAACGTCAAATTTTCTTCTTCACCAAGTTTCTCATCAAACTGCAAATTCAATGTTTTTTAAAAATTCATAAATTTATATATTAAAAATCATTTTGAATACAAAAGCATGCATCTGATTAAATTTTACTAAATCTTTATGTCTATTTTATTTCCTCAAAAAATTATATAAAGTAAAAACAAGGCAGCAAATCTTTTATCAAAATTATAGTAACATTTGTAAGAAATTGGAGAGCATCGATTGGACTACGTGACTTGTGGATGGCAGCGAACATCTGGATAATTGAATTGGACAAATTTCTTTTTGCCTCATCTTCCTGCAGTGACACCAGCATCAATCCTATCCTTGACACAAAAATTTAAAAAGATAAGCACGAATGGCGCGTCTTACAAATGAATGATGTGAGTATATGACACTGACCTCACTGGAGCACTGTGGAAATAAAAATTTTCAATCATTTTCAAAATCTCCAAACTCTTTTTATCAACAGGGTCACAGAAAATTACCTTGAATAAATTTCGCAAAATTCTGACAGTTCGTATATCATTGCATGAAAATAAATTATTATTAATGATTAACTCGGCTAAAATCTGGCACACTCTTAGCCACCTTATTCCAAAAATTTTTCCTCGTCATATTTGTTGTGCAGCACTATTGGGATTTAAAACATTTAGTCACGCTAAAATGTTGAAAACCAACATACACCTACATTTTAAACAGGTAAGTAGGCAAGAGTTAATGGATCGACAACCAATTAAACTGGCGATACTACGATAACTGCAATACAAAAAACATACCACATCGTGCCAGCGACAAAATTGAACGCAGGAAACCAACAGATGTGTCCATTTATATCAGTATGTTTAACATGCTGCTGACATTATTTGTCATATTATTTTAGTCTATTTTTTGGTTCTTTATTATGCAGCCCTGAATACGTAGAACCTCTCACATAGCATCCATGTATTTAAAGGTTTAAGGTTACTCTCTCTCTTTTGTATTTGCTTCAGAGGTTTCAACGACAAACACACACCTCGTACAAGCATGGCGTATAATAGGCTTTGAGTTTCGGACCGAGTGTATTCGAAACAGAGCATCGCGCAACTGCACGAAACAGCACTTTTACCGACTGAACTAACTCACCGACTATTATCAGTATGTTAATCCGAATTTGTATTAATGATTGAAAATTGAGTTTTTGTTAATATCGGCTGCATGAGATTCCTAAGCAAAACTTGTTAGAGAAATTTAAATCGGGCTTTTCATTGTTAGATGTTTATTGGTCATCACAATGTTTTTTGCCAGCAACTGAACTTACCTCACAATTAAATCTAATTTATTCTAACTTACAAAATCATTTTTGAAAAAAAAACAAAACAAGAAACAACTGAGCATCAATAACTCAATTATAAATTTTTCGCATGAGCTCTTCGTTGTCACTTGTTGCTTGCAATAAAACTCCCTTTGTTTGGTTTATGATACGCAGCTAAATGAAAGTTTGTAATATTATGTCCAGTTATTTTATTTAAGGTTAGTGGCCGGAGAGTAGAGGAAAGAAATGTATTTATTCATCACGTAACTATGTCAATCATGCTACAAGAAATTACATCTCGCTTAACCCATTCGCAAATGGATGCTCACAGGCTTGGACTTGGCCGCCGGGACTCCGGGAAATTCCCGGTGGGCCAATTGCCAAAAGAAAGTTATATTTTTTGTTTAAACTGAAATTACTTTTAATTATATGATAGCTTCAAATAATAGTTCGTATTGAATATAATCAAACTGAAACAGCGAATTCAACATCATAAGAAGTCTAACTATAATTAGTTATACATATAATAAGCTTCCGAAGTCATGGGTTATGACCTGAAACATTAATTTTGACGCAAAATTTTGATTAAATATTTTAAGCAGTTAAAAATTTCCCGAAATCTGCAAACAGTGAACTAAAGAAGGTAATTCTCGACATTCATCAAGTTTTTAATCTCCATTTCCTTTAAACCTTCTTCCTTTTGCTGATTGCGCGTATTGCTAGTATTGAATAGTAACAGTAATAGCAGATTAGAGTAATAGTAAAAAATTAGATGACATCATCAAATTATATAAACGAAATACAAAAATAAGTGCAACCGACCAGATGGAACATATTCTTTTTAATGTGCCTGAGCATTCCGGGAAAAGATGGCCTCAACAAATCCTGTACACTGCCTGGCCAACTACGATACTGCTCGTCTGATTCCAAATTGTTAATATACTGTAAAACATTTAGATTTATTTAAGAATTGATTTTAAAGGATTAAGTCGGCAAGTAATCTCAGTCGATAGAAGTGTCATGTCTCGCACTATTACTATGCGGTGGCCTGGTTCGAATATTGCCTGCTCGAAACTTGAAGACTATCATACACATGTGCGTACATGTGCATGACGCGGTGCTTGCGCGCGCATACATCACGTGTGTGTACATCGTTTGGTCTGCATAGAATAGTACAGCATTTGTAACAAGAAAGTTTAATTGCAAGTATAGAACGACATGTAAGCAGTTTGATGTCTGTTTGAGTTGCACATTAAAGAAGAAAAAAAGATAATTTTTTCAATTTTAGAAATGTCAACAAGAATTTGCCAAAAGTATAATAATTAAACAGACTAAACAATTTCACTGTAGAAAAAAAAGAAAGTTTTAATAACCAATATAAATAAGCGAATAAACAAAACATTGGAAAATACCCAAATAGAAGGATGTCTAATATCCAGGCCGTAACTTAAATCTGCTTCCTTGAAATCCACATGCAGTAGCGCAGATAACTTTTGGAACGTCGTGTTGAATTGCAGACTGACCTGATGGAGGCCATCTAACAGTTTCATTTCAGTATCAACGACGTCCAATATATTGAAAATATCAATGATGTCTGTTCCCACATTCAGACCATTGATATAAAAAGCCGAATCTCCGGGATACAAATTCAACGCCTGTTCCAAATACTGCAATGCAAGGATGAAGCATTTTAAAAATATGAGTAAACATTTTACGTCAACCATCTTCATAATATTACGCCCAGTAACTACCTTTTGATTCTCTTTAATTTCTTTGCGAAGATCATCTTTAACAGTCACTTTGATTAATTCCCTATCAGTAAGAGCATTAATTATTTTTAATATTGAACTTCAAAACATTTTTTATTATACAACATCACCTGGTTTTACTTGGGAAATTTTGGCACAAATCAACTAAAACATGCATGGCATTTTCTTTCGCATTTAAAACCACTTGAGCAAGTTGCAGGCTTAAATCTAAAAATAAAATAAAATAACATTACAATAAGAAAAATAGATAAGATAAAACTGCAATAATATTCAAAAAACAATCCAAGAGTTCAACCAGACCCGCCTTAACATTCTGCAACAAACATTGTTAGTTAAAAAATTCTAAATGTACGCAGCCAATAAAAACTTGATTATTTTTTTCATACAGGTTTATTTTCTGTCAAGTATAATATTTGACGTTAGGAAACAAAACAATAAAAAAATCCAATAGTTAATTAAATGATAGTGATATGAAATTCTAAGTCTAAATACCATTACAAGACGTGTAAATAAAATATTAAATATTAGTAAATGAATCGTGAAAAACAACTTTAAAAAAAACTTTCAATTGTTTTTCAAAAACATTTAAAGGTTTAATGATTTTTAAATAATTTGGAAGATCATTCCAAAATTTTGGCGTATAAAAAGAAAATATTCTGAAACTTCGCTTGTTTGTTGACATCAATGTTCTAAATTAAATTCGACTATTGACTCTAGTGGATCTTGGGGCGTGGATACAATTTAGGACAGATGATATAAAGTTACCTTTAGCTGACATTCCCTTTAACCTTTTGAATAAGTAGCAGCAAGCCTTGTACTTCTTTATTTCGCAAACAGAAAGATGTCCATTTTTAAGAAAAACATTCCAAGTCTCTATGAGATGTCTGGAAGAAACAGCTCTCTAACAAACTTTTTTGGCATAAATAAAGTTCTTGTAAACAAGTTTTATTAGTTTGACTCCGAATAAGATTACAGAAAAACAGATGGCTTTGGACAAATGAAAAATAAAAGACATTTTTAGAGTTATTATTTAAGAAAGAGTTAATATGATAATAATAATTTTTAAAAATTATAAACTTTGCTTCAGTTGGATAGAATAGAAAGTTTTAAAATAAACAGTTATAATGATATAATATTAATTCCATGAAAATAAATTCTTTTATGCCCTGTAATAATGATCTATGACACCCACATGCAGTTTTTCATTAATCCTTCCTTGTCTTTGCAAACAATTATTAATAAGTTTATGCGCCTGTAATTTTTTCCTTCTCACAACCACCTACTTCCCTACAACACCATTTCTTCAGCCTCTAAAAATTGAAGATATAAATATTAATTTATTGAAAATATCACATTAACCCATAATCTGAAAACATACAAGGCTCAGTCTTCAATTTAAACTTAATGGATCTACCAGAATAATTAAAAATACTCGTGAACAAAATAAACCCTTTTCAAATTCGATCACAACACGATAAAATTGTCGAAGCTTTATAAATTTCACAAAATATATTACTAATGTTTCCATGACAAAACACCATAAAATAACAATTAGACAACCTTGGATTAATCTGTAAGTTCTATAAAGCTCTAAATGTCAGGCAAGTTTAAAACAACAACGCATGTAAAAGAATAAAAGAAAAAAAAAACCAAATAAGTTTTAAGGATAACAGAAAAATTTTTAGTTACTGCCAGAAGCAAACCAAAGCACTAAGATAAAATGGGTTAGATGTTATTTGAGAAAGAAAAAACACGTGTTCAAAGAAGTTTAATGAAAGCCTTTAACCGTAACATAATAATAATAATTTAAATAATGTGGGTCGGACAGATCAGTGCAGAGAGTGGCTTACTAAAAGCAAAGGTGAACAAATGAAATCTCTGTATCGTATAGCAAAACAAGCAAAGCGTACGAAAAAAGACATAGTTGGTGCCTCATGTATCAAAAACTACAAAAATGAGATGGTTCTTGAACAAGATGAGATCAAGCTACAGTGGAGAGAATACTTCAACCGTCTGTTAAACGAAACAAATCCCATCAATGTTAACTTTGACGCTCCACCCATCGAAGGTCCGATTCCAGACATCACTTTAGAGGAGCTTACAGAAGCTCTGAAAGCTACGAAGGATGGAAAGCAGCAGGGCCCTCTGGTCTCACAAATGACATTATCAAGCATCTGGTACTGCAGGTATCCAAACGTTACTACAACTTTGCCGTGAAATCTGGAGAAATTGCTCAATGCCGACTGAATGGAACTATAGCATGACAGTCCCGCTATACAAAGGCAAAGGTGATCCATTGAACTGCTCATCATATCGGGGTATACGTCTGTTAGAACACTCCCTGAAAATTGTCGAGAAAATCATTGAGAGAAGATTAACGTCGTGCATCACAATCGGAAATTATCAATTTGGTTTTCTAGCGGGGAAATCAACAATTGATGCAATTCACATCCTTCGGCAACTGCAAGAGAAATACCTCGCAAAGCATCAACAACTATCACACATTTTTGTAGACCTTGAAAAAGCATTTGATCGAGTTCCCCGTGAAGCAATCAGGTGGAGTCTACGTCGACAACTCATTCCAGAATATCTTGCACTGGTGACATTTGGAATCTAGTATATGCTGATGATATCGTTTTAACAGCCACGTCTGAGCAGAATGCAGCACAGATGTTTGAAGATTGGAACACCAGACTCGCCGATCATGGATTCAAAGTCAACATCAGCAAAACCAAAGCAATGAACACTGATGAACCCATCCAATCCACAGCTACTGGACGATGGCCCTGTTCAGTTTGTAAAGCTGGTGTAGGTAACAATTCAATCAAGTGTCAGCAGTGTAATCAGTGGTGTCACAAACGTTGTTCAATAATAATTGGTTCTTTATCTAAAGTGTCCAATTTTGTTTGTCCTGCTTGCATCAATCCACAACAACAAATTCGAAATAGCACTGTTTTTGAAGCCATTAAAATAGAGAAAGTCACATCGTTTCAATATCTAGGGGATGTTCTGGATTGTACTGGAACAGCTGAAGCTGCCGTCCGAGCAAGCATACGTGCAGCCTGGAATAAATGGCATCTCCTTGCCTCTATATTGATGCGGCGTGACATTCCACTACCACTATGATCAAGATTTTATAAATCTGTGATACGTCCGGTGTTGTTATATGGTGCAGAAACATGGCCAATGACAACCAAACTGGAACAACAACTTCAACGAACCGACATGAAAATGCTCCGATGGATGCAACGAATTAGTCTGAAGGACCACATCAAATCTACCGAAATCCTGCGTCGTGCTGGTTTAGATGATATAAAGGACGAATGCCGGCAACACCGTCTGCGGTGGTTTGGTCATATCAAACGAAGTGGAAACAGTGCCATAACTTCTCTTGCAGATGTTGAAGTACCTGGCAAAAAGTTGATGGCAAAGAAAACAACGTCCTACCTCGGGAAACCGGGTCTCTGGACGCAAAACGAAGATTGATTGATTAAATAATGTGGATAGCTGAGCCACGTGGTGAATAGTTTAATAATAAAACAGTAAAGACATTAAAATAAAACTATAACAAAATTAATTTAAAAATTTTAATATTACCTTGAAGTTGCCAAACTTTTAAAGGCGCCATGTCGTTTAAACCATCAATGAGAAATTGCTGGAATTCAGTGAGATCTTTTTCAGAATCAGGATGAATTTCCCTACAAATGTAAGCAAATAAATTTATGTCTAATAAAATAAAATAAATTCAAGTTGAAAGAGTTAACAAACCTGAGTTTAGAAAAATTAAACCCCTCAATAACATCATCTTTCTTCATTTCATTTTTTTTATCAGATTGCTCTAATGCAATAAAAATGAGAATAATCATGACAAATAATAAAGACGAATCTTCAACAGCATCAATAAGATTAATTGAAAAATAAATAATGAGATCTTAATTACCTAATATTTTAGAATCATCTTTGGCTTTATACTCTGTACTTTTAATTGCTAATTCAACTCCGAAGCCAGACAATGAGCATTTGGTACTGGCAGCAGTCTGAGGTTTTTAATGAAATTATCTATCCAGCAAGTATAATATATATCAAAAAATATGAACAAACTTTCAGGAAATGCCGATGAACGTAAATAATCTTTTCATCATTGGACATTTGCTTTAAAACATCGTGCCAAAAATTGAATGATTTGGTACCCAGCTGTCCATAAAGAATGACATGAATTCCGTCTTTAAGATTAGTTGGATATATGTGATCATTTTTCAACACCAATGGATGAGATCTGTAACGGAAAAGTATAATAAAGTTAAGTTAAATTTAAAACATCAAAGTTGGCCACAATAACTAACGAGTTTATAGCTCTGATGAATGCTTTAAATGCCATGAGTTCGCAGGTTATAAAATTTTCTACCTCAACGAATACTTCACAATGTCCAGAGGAAGATAATTTTTCATCTGCAATCTGCAAATTCACCATAAAATTGTTTTTATAAATCAAAATATCGGATAAAGAAAAAATAATAAAGTTTCCATTTCGTTCTTTAAACAATTTTTTACTTTTAGCTACAAGTTTTGGAAAATTTAACATTATTATAAAATCATCATCATAATGGTAATTATAATATAGTATAATAACGTATAATAATGCCCGTATAATAATTATCATTATTATACGGGCATTGCAATAACAAAAATAACAAAAGTGAAGCCTACCAAAAGTTAAACAAAACAATTGTCAAAACTACGCTAGAAATAATACGCAAATTGAGATACATAGAAAGAATTAGCATGAAAACGTAATAAATAAAATACAGAAAAAAAGTGTAACTTTTAAAATACGAATCAGCTAAATTTAATGAAAGCAAACAAATACCAAAGAACGATAAATTTAAAGAAAAGTTATCGATATTTTTGCAATTAAACAAAAAATTGTCAAAAAGTCTAAAATTGACTCGCAATTGTACATGACGTCTCCAAAGAAACTGTCTGTTGGTGATTTCAGTCCCTCAGATAAAATAAATTATTAACTAAACGATTTAGCAAAAATTTTTTAGAGTGATAATGACACGACAAAAAACCAAGATCAAGAAGATGATTTCAGAGACGATAACGTAGATGAATTGGCTGCCATCAAAAAACCTCATAAAATGACCATGATGAATTCAATACGGGTTTATTGGTTGACCAATCCTTGATCAATTCAAGCACTATAATAAACATTACAGAAGCAAATATCAGAATGACCGAATTTGAAACACTTTTTTCCAACCATTTTCTTGCCTGACACCAACAGTTTTATATTTTTAATATCATACAACATTTTCTCATGTGGAGGCAGGCTAAAGTCATTTAAACAAATTTATTATATAAAAACAACAATAAATTTCTTGGTAGAGGTTGTAGTCTTAAACCTCTACCTTAATTATATCTGGAAATCATTTGAAAATGTTATGACAAATTAATGACGATATAACCTCTTGATGCATTTGGACCATAGGAGAGAAGTACCTAAGGGAAAGGTAAAACTTAAGCAAAGAAACTTGCTTTGAAGTCAGCAAATTTTCGGCAACAGACAATGCTGTTTTGTAGCTATCAAAACTGTTATCTGAATGCGAATAAAATAATTATATTGATGTCAGGTAAAATGAAATAACTGTATTTCTATAAAGTAAAATAAAATAATTGTATTTGAATAAAATAAAATAAATAATTGTTTAATACACAACAATTAAAATCACATATACAAAGAATGGTTTGTTTACTTACATGTTTTTTGATTGAACTCAAATTTGGTAGTTCCCTCCACAAAGGTCCAATATAACTCAGCATTCCTCGTTGCAAAAAACTCACTAAAATTATAAATATAATCTTTTATAATTTGTAAGCTTTTAAACATTTTATAAATTATTTTCTTTTTAAAATGTATTTCTGAGGAAGCTATCATACTAAACTTGAGAAGATTGTAAAAAAAAGACCAAATAATCGGCAATTTGTAAAAATATATATCCAGTGAACTATATTTCATAATCTTGCATTTTTAAACAGTAAAAAATGATGGCATAGGACAGTTCGGCCAGAAGAGAATTATAGTGTTGTAAGAAATTTGCGATAAGATGTCATCTAGTACATTTTTCAGAAGCTATGGTCTGAATAGCAACTTAATTCAACATAGCAACAGTGCCGTAAAAATGTATTTGTAGGTAGGATGCGTGTTTAAGACTGTAAAGTTTTCAGTCTCACAAAGGTTTAATGACTTGAATTTTTGTAAATAAATAAAATAAATAAATGTGAAGCTAAAACTTTTAAACCTTTTGAAATTTAATTTTTCTATGCCCCTATATCAGCTAAACAGTTACAAAATGTAAATGCTTATTTTACTTTTAAAAAAAAGAAATAAAAATGAGAACATTTTCAAAATTATAAATATAAGATCAATAAAAAAACAGAACCATCAAACCTCATTTCCGCTATCAAGGAGGTAGTTGGCCACTTTGCATTTAAATTTACAATGACAGACTTTGAGAGGATCATGCTTATTAATGAAGAACAAAAAACTAAACAACATGCTTGGAAGTTCATCTTAAACTGAAAATAATATTAGCAATTTGTTTATGCATAGCCATAATTTCGTAATTCACCTTATTTAGCAGCAAAACTGTTTAAAAAGTAGAACAAAAATTGCAAGTGCATCATAACAACTTTATCAAACTTCAACACTAATTGAGATTTAAAACTGATTTTAGAGAAGACAAAAGATATTTTAAAAGTTCAAATTAAATTTATAAGATGTCTTTTTAGATAAAAATCCTTCAAGTATCAAAGCAAAGAAAAGCATTATGAATCATATTTTCATGATTTTAAAATTCAAGTCAAAAATAAGAAAAAATGAAAAAAATTGAGATGTAAAATAAGTAAATGTCAGTAAATGAAAATAAAATCAGATAGATGAAGAGCATTAATTTAGCCAGAAAAAATGAAATCATTAAAAAAATTGAAGTGACCGTCGCAAAACACTCTCTTAATTAATTATCATGAGAAATATTTTGCTCGTTAGAATGCATAACCTCTAAGTTTTATTGCTACCACAACCAATTTTGTTGGAGTTTTGTTAAATTTTAAAACTTTAAAAATTGAGCAAAATTTCATATTTCCACTACTTTCCTATTGGTTAAAAATATGGTTAACAATATATAATATATTATGATGTAACTAACTAAAGCAGACATTATTGTCCATATGCTTGTATCTATTTGTTAGTTTGAAATTTTCATACAAAAATTGAATTAGGAAAAGTACAATTAAAGCCTTCAGAGGTCTGACCAATTGGCTTAGTAGAGCGGCTTTAATAACTGAGTGGCATATTTCTTTGAAATTGTCGATAAATGGCAACAGATTTTAAAGTCTGTTAATATTATGTTGGCTGATTGTGGATATTTTGTTGATGTTGACTGATTGGAATATTTTGTTGATGTTGACTGATTGGAATATTTTGTTGATGTTGGCTGATTGGAATATTTTGTTGATGTTGGCAGATTGGGATATTTTGTTCATGTTGGCTGGTTGGAATATTTTGCTCATGTTGGCTGGTTGGGATATTTTGTTGATGTTGGTTGATTGAGATATTTTGTTGATGTTGGCTGATTGGAATATTTTGTTGATGTTGGCTAGTTGGGATATTTTGCTGATGTTGGTTGATTGGGATATTTTGTTGATGTATGCTGATTGGAATATTTTGTTGATGTTGGCTGATTGGGATATTTTGTTGATGTTGGTTGATTGAGATATTTTGTTGATGTTGGCTGATTGGAATATTTTGATGATGTTGGTTGATTGAGATATTTTGTTGATGTTGGCTGATTGGGATATTTTGTTGATGTTGGTTGATTGAGATATTTTGTTGATGTTGGCTGAATGGAATATTTTGTTGATGTTGGCTGATTGGAATATTTGTTGATGTTGGTTGATAGGGATATTTTGTTGTTGTTGGCTGATTGGGATATTTTAAATAACAATAAAATATATTAATTCCATTTTAATTAGATCAGTGCTCTCATCACTGTGATGCACACCATGACCGATGGTTATTTAATACTTTTAATGGAGAGCTCCATTGAATTACACATAGAAATTGAAACATATACTTATTTGATTTGCATTTGTTTGTATAAATGTATCATTGTTGATATTATTTTCAGTAATGCTTATAATAGGAATGGTAGCATAGAGCAATACAGGTATTAAATGCCTTGAGTTTACCTGTGCAGATTACAATAAACATGAGCAAACCATATAGTACAATGGAGAATAAAGTTCTGTGATTATACTGATGTGTGAGCAGCTGAGTTATAAAAGTGTTGAAAATGCTCACGTTTACCATAATTTGTACAGGTAAACTCAAGAAATTTAGTAAATGTATTGCATTTTGCTATAATTCCTATTATAAGTATTACTGAGAGCAAAATCAACAATAATACATTTACATAAATAAATGCAAATCAAATATATGCAGGTCGTCTTCAGTGGTAGAGACACAAACTTTAGCTTTTATAATTTAATTGTAAATATTATTATTTTTGTTAGTAATATAAAATATTATAATATATATAAATATAAAATAATATAATAATAATGGTAATTGTTAATAAATTTAACGCCCAATGCAGTTAATTATGCATGATGCATAGTTGTAAAAAAGTTAATTAAATGTTTAAAAGTTGAAAAAATTTAGGATTAGGAGGGTTAGAGTTAAGCTAGGCTAACTTTTAAACATTAAATTAACTACAGCTAAGCATTATGCATAATCATCAGCATTAAGCATGAAACTTAATGTCTACCATTTAATTTAAATAAACAACACTAATGACTAAACTAACTAAACAGTATAATTTTTTTATCTGATTAGTTTTCCATGTTATTGTTAAATTAATTAATTGATCCATTGACTAATTTATTTTATACATTTGATTAGTTACATTGACATTCAATGATGTTATTGTTAAGTTAACATCTGATGTCTGATCATTTCCAATCAGTATTCTAGATAGTTAGACAGTTGAAATTTTAGGTGTTATCATTTCTAGTTTAGCCAATTCTAGAAAATTAAAAAATTTGCTACTGAAATTTTCTGGACAATACATAATAATAATAATTATTAATAAACAAAACTAATAATATATAATTTTAATTTAATATAATAAAACTTTTGGAAAAAATTTACAATTAACTACCTTAGAGGAAAAATAATTCACCTAAAAAACAGGAGCCGGCAAAAATGTAACCCAACTCCTAATTTGGCCTAAATCCAACTAACGATCAATAATCTCTTCCTTGATCTTACACGATAAATAACAAGTAAACAAAAACGTGAAATTTGATACGTCTATAAAGTTAGCTTAAAGTGTAAAGCCACCTCAGCAGAACGTTTATGACCATTGAATTGCGATATAAAAATTCATAATAAAAGCTAAAAAATAAAATGAATTCGTTAATGAATGAAAAACATTAAAACAATAATATAAAAAAAACTAAGCTACTTTGTTATATCCATTGACTGACATATTTTTTAAATCAATCATGTACGTTGACTAAAAGCGAGGTATGACGACCTGGCTTCAACCGTTTTTAATCTTAATGTTTATCTCCCAGTCTAAAGGTAAGCTATTAAATAAACGAGTGTATGAGTTCGGAATATACAATATAAAAAACAGATAACACCAAGGTTGTCGTGCTTTTATTGTGTGGGCGCAGATAACCTTACCACAAGTGCCATCCAGTGACCTTTTGTGGCCCGGGACTGAGTATTAGCTGTAGGCCCACCCAGGGATAAACTGGCTTAAAACCTGCCAATAAAATTTGATCATGCGATCTTAGTTTCAAATAACCTTTTTCAGTAATTTAATATCTCTACTAATTTTTAATTTAGTTTCATTTTCACATTTTGTTCTCTAATTTCTTAATACCTCAATATAATTATCTCATTTATTATAACGAAATCTTAAAAACACTACTTCCATTTGTAAGTATGTTTTAATTTTTTAATTTATTACAAGTTCAAATTCGAAATAATGCAAAACAACTTAATATCTCCTAGTTGTTCTACCAAAGTGTCTTACCAAAGCGGCTTCTCAAAAAAATCTGACTCCTATTCCGGCTCTCAAAAAATTCCGATTTCAACTCTGGCAAAAGTCTCCGACTCCGACACTGGTTCCAACAATATAAACATAAGAAACAAACTGAATTCTAAACTAAAATTTCTGTTCAATATTAATTAGTATTTGACATATTTTATATAGTTTCACTAATCAATGTATAACATTAGTGGTTTCATTGTTATTGATTTTCGAAAAAATCCTTCTCGCAAGACACCAGCACGAATGATTGTACAAATGAGTGGATCTAAGCAAATTTCTTAATTTTTTAATTTTGAATCGACCTCTCACAAGGATAACGTCAAAACAAATTTGTAATCCAGATACAAATCTGAATAAGCAAGACTAAGCAAATTAAAATTTGCTTTTATTTCTGTGGTTGTTAGTTTTATCAAGAAATCCTACTGGTTCAGGTTGTCAAGCTTTGTCTGGGACAGAGTCCGATATTTTCATTTCAAAGATCAAATTGTATCAATCTTCGAGACTATTTTTTTATCATTCTTATCATTTCTAAGAAGCTGTGTACACTAAAATATAATATACACTAAATATAATAAAATATAATACTTATATATTTTTTTACATGTACATCATGCTCGTTTAGTTGATCATGTTCCTATTTTTATGTCTTCATATTCTGTTCTCTTGCAGATCTGCACGGCTACCTATAAAATATAGAATGATTTCTAAAATTTGCACATTATTGTGCAAATCTCAATCTAAATTATTTCTTGAGTACAAATCAAATATATTAATTTAACCTATACCTTTACGATCGTTTTCTCGTTCTCACTTCTTTTCAACATCTGTTAAACACTCTTATACTAAATCTGCGTTTGCTTTTTCTGGCTTTTTTTTCTGGAACTCTCTACCTCCTGTTTCTCTAACTACTTCTCCATTACGAAGTTCAGGGCAGATCTCAACTACTCAATAAATCGATCTATCAATCAATTTAAGCGCTGTTAACATCGCTCCTCAGTAAATTTCTTTAAGATGGGTCTCGAGATCTGCTCTGAACATCGGAAGTTATGGAGTAGTCAGAGAAGGAGGTAGAGAGTTCCAGAGAAAAGGGCCAAAAAAGCAAACGCAGATTTTAGCATAAGAGAGTTTAACTCGAGTTAAGAATAAGTGAGAACAAAAAGACTATGGAAAATACCTCTGTTGTAAAATTCATCGTTGAACATTGCGAAAATGGCTCTTCATAAAGTATAAAATTATTGTTTGATTGACATACACATACATTGAATAAAGGCAAACCCGGAGAACAGTACTGGGTTTTCCCCGTAATAATAAAATGTTAGTATTTTGAGACCATCTCCGTTGCTAACGTTATTTACGTGCTCAAGTGTTTATATTTTCGGGCAGTAACATAAAAAAATAAGCTACAACTAGACAACTAAAATAAATGTTGCTTATCCTTCCTAGTCTAGGCTGAATGAAAGGTTAGGACTCAGGCTGCAAAATTGTTTTACTCCTTATTTTTACTTCATAATTTTGTATAACCATATATATAATAAAAAAAGGAGGCTGTAGTTTTTTTAGTTTTAGTTTTTTTTCTACTACACTACTCTACAATTAATTATTAAACCTACAACTCTACACTTTCTTACAATCTACACTACAAAAAGTGTAAATTGGTAAATTTGTTTTATTTATTTATTTATATTCTGTTAATTTGAAAAAATAGAGAAATGGTCAGGTCAGAGATTTGCCCTTTCTTCAGTTCAGATCCAATACACTGGAGGAGAATACTACTAAAATAAAAAGGATTTGAAGCAAAATTTTATTAATTCATCCTTTAATTAAATTAAAAAAACCTCATCCTTTTTTGGTTTTTCCATGCATATTTATTTACCATAAATTCTAAAAAGAAGCATTAATATTATAAGCCTGTTCGGCGTTAGTTAACTTCCAACTAACTTACTAACTAACTAACCAACTAATGCTGAACATGCTATGATTTTCATCAATGATTGCATTTTTGACAGTAATAATATCCAACGTATGTGTATATATATATATATATATATATATATATAATTTCATTATTATTTATTAATATTATATAATATAATACAATATTTTATAAATTCTACTGGATAGTTGTTATGCCAACAATTCTTAGAATTTATAACAATTGTGTATAAAAATGGTCTCCTTCTGACATATATAAAAATACAGTTGCCACAGTACTTTGGTGTTTTTTGTGCAATCATAATCATCATTGAAATCAAAATCACCTAAATTTTAATTAAATAAATATTTGTCGTTTTCCTTTGTTGCTTTATTAAAATTATAATCATTACCAAAATCCCAATTAAACTAAACCAATAAATTTTTCTTTGATGTGTGTTAGTAACATCACCATCTGTGACATCATATTGAAGTTAAAAAATTGTTTTGTTGATGTATTTGTGTTAGAAACATAAAAAAATGGTGTTTATGGCTTTATCAGCTTTATCAAATTGGCTATTAACTTTTTATCTCATTTATTTATTTGTTTTTGTAAAAGCAGGACAAATATGCTTCCAGCAGACACCAATGCTGTTATTAAAAGTTTTTGATAATTAAATGTTGGAGGTGTGTAAGTTATAATTAGTAATAGTTATTACTGATAATAAGTTATTCTCTTGGAGTTATTATTATTAGTATTCTTTTATTATTTATTTCAGTATTATTTATATATTTATCTATATTAGATAAAAATATATTTATAAATAAATAGAGATAAATTAAATGAATTGGTTAGATGCATTGTCCTGCCTAGGGGGAACTAGGTCTCTGGACGCTAAATGAAGATTGAATTGGATGCATTGAAGTGTATAGGATTTAAAATATATCTCTTCAAAGCACTGACCTGAATGTATTGTGTCATTTTTATTCAATTTTTAAAGTTATATGATTCAAATGTTGAAAAAATTTTATTGTACAATGCCATGTTTCCACATATTGATATTGCATATTGATACTGAACAACATACTGAAAAAATTAATTGTGCTCAATTCAGGAACTCACAGCAAAGGTGTCATCTATCATTATGGAACTCACTTAACAAACTATATATATATATATTATTATTATTGTAAATTTTTGAAGCGCCTAAATAAAACAAAAATTTCTCAAAAGCACTATCCTTAACAGTAAAATAATGAAATAAATAAATGATTTAATCATTTCAAATAAATCGATATTATTTGTAACGAAAATAAATGTGTTTTCAAATTCTTTTTAAAGTCATCAATCTTCAATCCAGGCGTTCTAAGCGAATATATATATATTTTTACAATATTCTATAAATTCTACCGAATGTTTGGCGTTAATATGTTTGTAGTTCGTTTTTTCAATTTTTCTCACTAAAGTTTTTTGGTGAACGTTTAGTTTATTAAAATTCAAAATAAACTTACTTTCTGAATTCATGCTGCAAATAAGGCCATATTTCGATTCCGAATGAATCATCATTAGAGCGAAATATTTTATATAGGGAAATATTCACTTTGTCAAAATGAACTTAGATGAAAATTAGGTGTCAGGTTTCTTTATTAACTGGTCCATCTTCGTTGGTTTGATCGATAGCATCATATTCATCTGATTCAATTCGGTAGAATTTATAGAATATTGTAAAAATTATGGTCTATTACCAACATTTATATATATATATATATATAAATGCATGCGTGTGTGTGTGTGTGTGTGTGTGATGCAATAGTTCTCAATGCAATGATGAAATGGGAAATTGTTGAACACACTCCTTTAATATTTATTTAATAATTATTTAATGTTTTTTAAGATTTTAACTTGAGGTCAAAAGCTGTTACCCTTGCACCTACTGAATACAATGGTGTCGGGATTTTGTAATTGTCTCAAATGTTGAATAGTTCTTTCATCCAAATATTAATATACACTTTAGACAAACCATGGAAAACCTGGTTTCTTTGTGGATTTGGATTTCTGTTGGATACAGTTTCTTCTTTAAGGCATCCAGTCTTTTTCTTGGCTTTAAAATATGGTTTACCATTCACTTAATTTTAAAGTTTCAAAGCGACTTTTCATTATTTTTATGCTGTATATGTGTTAAAACCGTCAAAATAAAAAGTGACTCTTGATTAAACAGAATGAAGACATGCAATTTTAAAACTTGGGGTCTTACAGCAGCTATTTACTTATAAATTGGATAACTGACCAAATTAGGGCTTAGGCAGGCCTATAGACATTATTGTTGATAATTTTTAGTTCTGCTTTGAAAGTATTTGGTTGATATTTATATAAAATCTAAGCTTTTATTGAAATGCATTAATATTGGGAAATTAAACAAAAAATGTATTATAATTTTTTTCTTTTATTGTAAAAAGGCCCAGTTTGTCAGATGTTTTCACGGATTAAGAAGTCTTCGTTGAAATTTGAATATAATTTATTGACAAAGCTTTTCCGTAGGTTTTCATCTCAAGATGAAACATATTCTAATAAAAAACTGTTCATAAAAATAAGAGGTTTGTTCTTTATTAAATAAATTTTTTCCTGTGTTTTTATGCTATTGTGTTTTCTAATAAGATTTATAGGTTTATGTTGATGATTTAATAATAGATTCAAGTTTTGATTGGCCAGAAACGAGTTTGGGTGCTTTTGAGCCAAAAGATCCTAGATTTCCTTTTCCTGGTTTTGTTGGATCATATCAATCTACAAGTAGCAATGTTTCCAACAATTTAAATTCTTTAGTGGATGACTTCAATTTTGATTTCATTCCTCCAACATCTACATCATCTTCATCGTTTCATCAATTGTTAACTTTTAATGAAGTAAGGTTATATATTTTTTGGCATTTTATTAGTTCTTGCCAAAAATTTAATCGTTTTGTTTAAGAAATATTCGTTAATAAATTGCTTGATTAGCAGTACTAAGCATTTTTTACTTTTTGAATTTTTGATAAAGCTTATTTTTTATCGAAACAAAATTGTTATAATAATTTTTGCAACTTTTATTTTATTTTATTCCGCTGAAGTTGGTTAAAAATTTATGATGTTGCAGCTGGATAGCTGTGAGTTAATATTCTAATGAAACTGTCTCTGTAATAGAGCAGTTGAGATGCCATAGTGTCTCTTATCTCATGGATAAAAACGAATTTGTTTAACTGTTTGATCAGTTCATTTTAAATTTTTGTTTACCATCATGACTGTTTACTATTACCAACCAGGATTAAAAGAAACCAATTTGGCGTTATTTTTTATCCCATTTTGTTAATATTTAATGTTTTAGTTATATTGCATATTTTTTCATTTATATTTTAATTTTGTAATGATTAATATAATTGTTTTAATATGTATAAAATATAAACTAACTTTGCAGCCAACATTGAATGGTGTTTCTCAAAATATTTTTGAAAATGATCTTCTCAATTTTAATTTGATTGCAAGAGAATGTCCTGTTTTTGTGAAACAAGGTGAAGTGTTTACGAAAGTTTTTTTTTTCAAAATTTGATGAATTTAATTTTTTCAAAAGATTTTCAACTTCTTCACCCGTCTTTCAACTTTTTGAAGCAGCGAGTGACAGTTGTTTTATTTTACATGAGCAAAAATGACGCAAAAGTCTATAACAATGTTAGTATTGCATTCATTGATATAATAAATTGTTTCATATTGTTTTCACTCATTATTCATATAGATATAGAAATTTGAAATGTTGAATTTGATATTTCAGTTGTTTTGCTTCTAAGTTTCTGCCATTACAGTTTTATGATTTCAAATTCTGTAGTATTAATTATTGTCTTGTTTTCCTTTTGGTTCTGCTTTTGGGGTTCTATATCCTAGGTCATGACAGTTTGAATTTCTGGTGTTACTAATAATTGTTCTTCAACTGTTTATTTAATTGAGCCTTTACTCGGTTGATTTAGAAGTTGCAAGACAAAATTGAAATTGTTTTTTTGACTTCGTTGTTGACCTGACGTTAGTTTAGTTGTGTTCTGGTGTTGGTACTGAGTATTCTCTACCTTTTCTTGCATGGATACTCTACTATCCTACAATTCTTGTGGAGTTGGTGATTTGACTGTTTTATTTAATTGAGAAAATTATTTAATTCATAGTAGTTTTTTTAAAGTACTGGCAGCTACGTTGACTTTATTATTGAGGTCTTTTATGGTTGTGTTAGAGTTTCGACCAGGCTCAGTTACGGTTAGTAATGTGTTATTGTATGAATTCTGCCGGTTATCATTGCAAGTTTGCTTCCGGGGGACAATACGCTAATTTATCCAATATTGTGCCGTTCATTACAATGATGACGTTTGCACTGTCGGATTTTGTGATGCTCCCTATTCATTTAGTTTTGTTATTAATGTTTAGCTGGTGAATGGTCTAAATCATAACTAATATGGTTATTAACTAATATGGTTATGAACATATTACAAGTGATTCAAAATTGATAAAAAGTGACTCAAACTGATTACTACATTGGTTGTCAGTAAAGCATTAGGTTAGCAAGACCGCAATGTTGGTCTATAAATGCTAAAATGAATTAGCACAAAGATATTTTGGTAATATTTGTAAGTGGATGGCTGAAATGTTTTTGAGATTTGGTTTTAGAAGAACTACGAATCAAATGATGATAACACCTAAGGTCAGGATGATGTATGGTGGAAGAGGCGTCATAATATCGGCCTCTATAATTTCATATGTTTGATTCAGGTAGAATTGCGGGTTATAAAAGATTTAATTTAACGTTAACAGAAATGAACTGAAGACTTATTTATTTCGTGATTGAACTGATGACGTATTTATTCCGTGAAGCCTATGCAACTTTTAGAATTAAGGAAAGGGAATGCCACTTTTGACAATCACAATAATAATAACTGTAATGGAAATGGTTCCATTACATGGTCACGTGGGCTACGATAAAACTAATGCAACAGACTCGATTTTTCGCGGAGTCGTTAAAACATCTGATGGAACTTGTCCGTTAGAGCCAAGAGATATTCCTGCATTCTTTGAACACGTAGAAAAATTTTTTCGAAACTATCACGTAGACGGAGAAATTCAAGCCAATTTGTTGATAATGAGTTTGAACGAAAAGGCCAAAACATGGTTGCATACTATTTCCGCCGACGGTCTGAAGGATTATAGCGAAATTAAGACTCATTCTGCAGGAGTTCAGGTTAAACCCGACAAAATTGAGAGATGAATTCTTCGCCCTGAGAAGACAGAAAAGCGAATCGTAAACGAGTTTCGGGGCGAAATTATACGGCACGCTGAACCACTATTTTCAAAGCCGTAACATTACGGGATTAGAAGATGCAATGAAATTGATATGTGCAGGTAGAATGAAAGAGTTGCTATCAAGGCATACTCTGGAATTTATTTTGTCACAAGAACAAGCAGCTTCCTGGAGGAGTCATGACGTGTTGGCACAAACGATCGACAAATATGAAGCTACCATTAACATGAAAGTTTCGAGCGACAATATATATATGTCGGAGAGTATCAATCAGATACAATCGTCTCGAGAAAATGAGCACCAGATGTATAGAAGTAGTAACAACAAATCAGCTTCACCCAAACAGACCTGTTTCTCTTGAGGGAAGATCGGTCATATTGCGAAGCGCTGTACATGGAAAAGAAGAGATACACTTACGGCCACTAGAAACGTCATGCGTTGCGAAACGAACAAAGAAACAAAGACCACAACAAAAACGTCAACAGCAGAGGCAGTCAAAAAAGCAACCGCAACAACATCAGGAACAAACTAATGATGAAATAACAAATTATAAAAGTATTGACAACATCAGCTCCTCAAAATATGATCATAAATTTTCGGGTGAGACTCTTCAACCCAGATCGTCCAATGCCGAGAATTTTTCGGAGAGCCTCAAAACTTCTGCGAAACAAGTTCCAGTAGAATTTCCGTCAACATACGCGTCCTTAGCATCGTCGACAACCAATGAAAGAAGTCACACAGTTTCAGAAAGCTTGTCAGTGGCGTGTGTAACGTTGGAACACCCATCCCATGAGCTGCTGAAGGACAACAACTTCACCTGGTACAAGTACAATTCTTACCGAGCCAAGTGCCTCAAGGATCGTCGGAAGGTTGGGATCGGGCTGTCTACAGAAATGAACACTCTTTTCAGGTTTTGGTCATTTTTTCTTCGTCACCACTTTCACCAAAAAATGTACGAGGAGTTCAGGCAACTTGCCATTGAAGATGCCAATAAAGGGTTCAGGTATGGCTTGGAATGTCTGTTTCGGTTCTATAGTTATGGTTTGGAGAAAAGATATCGACCTGACTTGTTTGAGCACTTCCAAGAGGAGACCATCAAAGATTATCAAAATGGCCAGTTATATGGCCTGGAAAAGTTCGGGGCTTTCCTCAAATATTCAAGGAAGCATGTGCTGGTCGATGGTAGGTTGAGGGGATGGCTCAGCAAGTATCAGAGACTGGAGGATTTTAAAGTTGAGCCCCTTCTCGGTTCGGGGCCAAGCTTCCATCTCAACAATCAAATGCAACCTCATTTTTATTCGAACAGGCCCCCAATGAATTATATGACCAGAGTCAGACAGGATTCAGAAAGATCAGATCCATCAAGGAATAGAAGTAGTGGCCAACATCACCAGCAACATCAGATGCGAAGCTGTGCCAATGCCAGACTATACAATGCCCGAGTTAAAGAGGCACAAAGACCACTTCAGTTTGGGCTATTCTAAAATTCCGATCATGGATTTGCTTATTCAAAATCAAGAGTATAATACACAATTCTGTTATCATCCAGGTGCACGTAATGTTGTCAATTTTTCCTCCAGGATATAAAAGTCAAGAAATGTTTATTGCATTTTCGGACATTGATTTTTGTTTTGTTTAGTTTTTATTTTTGTATGTGTGATGAATGTTACATTCATCCTCTTAGGCGTTGGAGATATGTAATGGAAATGGTTCCATTACGTGGTCACGTGGGCTAGTTACTAGCACAAAGCACGTGTGCTTACCTAGGGGAGAGCGCCGTATGGTCATGTAGGTTGGTTACTAGAACAAAGTACAAGCGCTTACCTAGGAGAGAGCACCGTGCAAGTCTATAAATAGCCTGCGCAAATAAGTTAAGCCTCTCTTTCTTTTCTGCGGCTCTTGTGCCGGAGTCGACATTAGTAAAGTTGATTATTGTATCGTTGAATTTTCGTTAATTTGATTTATTCAATTAATTATTTAGTTAGGTTTTAATAAAGGAGGATTAATAATATATTTGTCGTTGCGTTTAGTTAATATCGAACCCGTTACAAATAACACTAATAATATGCTGGAAAATTATTTAAAATTTTCTTTTTTAAATTTAAGACTGTATTTAAAACTATATTTGATAAAAAATAATAATAAAAAAATTCCTAATTTGAGATGGTTCATTGAGAAAAGTTCCACGTTGGCTCAACTGATGTTATAATTTTCAATTACAGTTACAGTTTGAAAACATAAATGCTGTAGTTTCTTCGTTATCTATTTTGTTACATTATTTACTACGCTATTTATTTTGTTAGTATTCTTTCACGTCAGCTTATAGGATGACAATAATACGTGATTAATGATTCTAATGCATCAGAAGTTGGACGCTTAATTAAACCCAGTTATCCAGAAACCGTTTTCCACCAAACCTTTAATACTATTTTCTTATATGTTGAATTGAAACCTTTACAATTGCATTGACTTTGCACCACATTGAGTTGGTTACAACTTTTTCTTCTTTGGTCGTATAATTTTCTGATTCATTTTCTAACTTTCTAAAGCCTATTTTTAATTCGTATTATTATTTTAAAATAATTTTCAGTTTGTTGATGTGGCTAATTACATATGTAAATCGTTAAATATGGCTGGCTTCTGGGCAGATTTTAATGATACTAGGAAAACCATACCTGTTAGTTACAAATGCTATTTCTACTCTTCTTTTTTATTTATTCAACTTAATGAATTGTGCTATAAACTTTTGTAACATATTAAATATTTGATTTGATTTTATGTTATTTTAGAATAAAAATTAAGTGAAATTAGATGAGAGATGAATCTTGCCAATTCAATTTTTATGTGAATAACTTTTTCAACTTGGTTTGATTATTTTTCAAATTTGTTAACCGCTCTTAAAGGCTTCACAAAAACATTAAAATAAACTAGTTGAAACGTTATTAAATATGTCAAAAAACTTGATGAGAAATTAATGACACCAAAGAAAAAATGAACAGCAATTTGTTTATCTGGAACTATAAAGCTTGATTTTATTTGCGAACAAAGTTTATGTTACAATAAGTGTCATGTTAGTTGATCAAGTTTAATTATAACATTTCAAAAGCAGCTGCGGTTAGTGGGTAACATATTTTTTGGAAAATAAAGGCATAATAGGATTGAAAGAATATTTAGAAAATAGTTTGAATAAAGGAGCCATAAATTTAGAAAACTAATTGTTTTCTATACTCCACTCTAACGAGTCGGTGTTGAGTTCAGAAAAGAAATAGGTTTGGAAGAAAGGGAGAAGCTTAACTACAAACCCCAATTCGTGGCAGGGATGGTAGTATGGTATGGTGTTAAAAAAATGTTTTGAATGATAATGGTATCAGTGTTAGGTTTGTACAATTTTTTAAACGTTCAACCGGAAGATGTGGATAGATATGTATGAATTTTGAAGACTAATAACATTGGCGAGAGATTTAAAGGAAGGTTGAATATGAAATGCCAATAAATATAAAAGTAACAGGAAAGTTGTAAAAGGAATCTTTGGAGCATTTGAATATTAAATATAATATAATATATTTGAATATAACCCTAGTTTAAAATATTTTGGTAAGAATCAACATAATTTTATATTCTAATTTCGATGTTATGTGAATTGATAACTAATCATATCTTATTGCTTTACACAGTACGTGCAAAGATCTTTGCATTCGATCTTTTTGTACGAAACAGAAAAGAGATGTAAAAAATTTGGCCTATTTTTAGAAGATCACCAAGGATGCGCCGTCATCAAATATATATCTTCAGACAGCACGTTTATTGGCTTTTTGTTGACAACGGCACCTGTTAATCACCCTTTGATTCATGGTTTAAATAATGTGTAAATAAATAAATAATAATATTTTAACTTCTTCGTCGTTTTCAAACCTACAATAAATAAATAAATTGTTAATATTGTAAAATAATTAGCCTTTGTTATTTTTTGCAATATGCCGACAGATCTTAATAGGGGTTTGTTTACGTTTGCAATTCGGAAAATTATTTAGCTAAATATTAGAAACAGAGCCAGGAACAAACCGATTAAATCAAAAATTCGAGTAGAATAATTCGATGAAATCAATTACAGACAAGAAAAGAAAGAAAATGAATTAATTTCATGATTTTTAAGCAATTCAGCTTCTGAAATAGTATTCAATAATTTAGTAATTTCAATTTCGACCATTCGTAATGTGCCTGGAGAACTGGTCTACCTTCTTTTTTTTAAATTTAAGTTCGAGTTGTTTCTGAGCTTTTCTATGTTTGATTCGTTTAGTAATCGTTACGCAAGAGAGTTTGCTTTAATTTGATTAAGTACTTAAATCTCGGTATTCGATTTTTGTACAAAGCTGAGATTTTTCTGTGTATCAAATCAATTGCGCCAAGTTTTTATGTTGAAATGTTTTTCTGTACATCAAATCGAATATGCTATATTAAAATTTGGCAGACGCAGTGACAACTTTGAATCGCTCCCCTTAACCCGCCACTGGGCAGACTTAGACAAATAGTTTTCAGTTTTTAAAATTTGATATCTGTTAGAATTCGGAGACTACAAGAAATCTTCGTTTGTTGTAGCTAAGTATCTTAAAAAAAATCTATTTTACTTACATGTTAAAACATTAGTTTTATTTTTTCCTTAATGTGTCAGTCATTTGGTTTTTTCTTATATTTAACAGTTTTCATAGATTTGTTTATGACTACAAACTTTAGTGTTGAAGGCGTTTAAAAAGTTGAGTCTATCATACTTTTTTCGATTTTTTTATCAAAAGAAGATTTTGATGGTTCGGTGCAAAAATGAAATCGTCACTTTAAATTATCATCCAGAGCATGGTGGATAAAATAATTCTATGGCGTTCACCTCGTCTTATGGGGTAGATTTTATTTGTGTTTGATAAATTCAACTGATAAACTTAAACCAATGTATTTCAACTAAACTGAGACGATAT